TTTTTACTGTTTCTTCTGTTCAGTTCACTTCAGAGACGCGCTACTCTGCTGGCCTTAACACCGAAAAACTTCAGCACGACAAATCGCCGCATCCAAGTCAGAATGCATCTGGTTCCAGGAAGTCTGGTATGAAATGCATAACGCGAATGATAATTCCCAACTGCACACTGCACGAGAATCTCATTGGTCTCGCAGCAAGAAAGACTGCCCCGTCATAACATAATTCAATAATCGGTGTGCACATGTGTGTGTGTGTGTGTCCGTTGCTGCTGTATATGCATGTCACAAGTTTATACACAAAAACTTTATAGACAAAAAATCTTTACAACAATACATCAAAGACCGTACAAAACCACGAAAAACTTTATAAGAATACAAGGAAAACTTAACAAAAATCTTACAAAAAAACAACAATAATCCTACAAAAACAACAAGAAAAAACCCTCTACAATAATACAAAAGCAAAGAAAACTTTATAAAAACAGCGATAATAAATTATGACAATTTCATGTAATTTTCGAGATAGTCTTCTTCCCAACAGTGTAATTGCCTTGCGCGTATTCATTTGCATCATTCTCTTCTACCGTTGAAGAGCTGCTCGGATAGTTTCATAAGCGCCGGTTTTAAATTCATCTGCAAACGTGTCTGACCAGTTAAGAAATACTCAGTAAACCTATTCTGGAGCAGGGGAAATACAGTGCAGCTTGCTCGATCCCACATTTATTGTATTCACAAAAAAAAACTTATGCTAAAATCAAAAATCTTACTACCAACTGTCTTTCTTTTGGGATACAAACTTGTTGACAGCGGCGCACACCAGGGCAGCCGTTGCAAACATGCGTTTTGCGCTGTTCCGTCTAGCGGATGTTCGTCTGTTAAAAATTTTCACTATTTTACACTTCGGTATGTGCAAAAATAGTCGATGCATTGTCTGGCTCCTAAGCTACGAAATTTCCCACTAAAGATTTTGTGTACGAATACGTGAAACATAAGCGCATGTGAAAGCTGAATTTGAAACGCTTTGGACGGGGAACGCCCTTTCAAAATTTCGACTTCCTAGTTTTCTGGCTTCGAACTAATGATTTCCGCGCCAGAACTCTCACGTGATCGTAAGTGAGACATCAGCATACCTCAAAGCTAAGTTTGAGTTTTTTTCCTTGCATAGGTAGAAAACATCCTCCTGAAATTCCAGCCTCACAGCTCTCCTGTTTCCTGAGATAATAATTTTTCCGGTCAAAATTTTCACGAGACCGTACGTGATACCCGGGCGTAGGGGAAGGCTAAATTTAAATTTGCGGGGTCGCACGTAGGCGAGGAACATTCCACTAAAATTTCAGCTTTCTAGTTTTTGCGTTCCTCGAATTGAAAGTGCGGGACAAAATACATTCGAACATAAATATACACAGAGACTCTCGGGAATATGCTTTTTTGATCACAAAATACACCAAAAAAAGCATAATAAATTGAAAATTTATCAGATATCAAAGAAGAGCTGGATGAAAAATGATGTGAAAACTTAAAATCGAATTTCATCGTACCTATGTGCACAACAGGCGTGCCGGGAATCAGCCGACAGCGCTGCTGCCAAGCGCTCGGCAGGCCGCAACCACAACGGGCAGCATGTGCGGCTTATTTTGCCACTTAAGCTGCAGCGACGACAGCAACTGGACCAGGCAGCAATGCTGCACCGCTGCTGCAAAGGACTTTCATAAAAACCACAGAAGAAGCACTTCCCACCAGTTCATAACAAGTCGGTCAGTCCGGCGTTTACTGAAGACATGCAAATATACACAAAATAACAGAGCTGACATGCAGTCCTAAAATAAAATGGAACGAAGCAATTACTGTCCGTACCTCCACCACAGGTGGATCCCGGTAGGACGGGAGGCGGGGGCGGGGAGGGGGAAGGGAGGGAATGGGCATTTTGCCTCCCCCAGCGGCATAGGTACCATGCTATAGAAGTCCGGGTCTAAAGCTAAAACTGATGAAAACTTCCCTCTGCACCTCCCCCCCAGCAGCCTCACTCTCCCTCCCTCCCGGTCGTCGCCGCACCAGTAACTCGATTTTCAAAACGTTTTTGTCAAAGACTAACAAACAACACATGAACATACGAAAGATTAGTAGGGCGACACACGAGAATAACACTACTACTGCAACAAAACCAAAGCCCAATTACTCTGAACAAAATTCAAGTTCTGACTAAAAACCGAAACCAAAAGATGACTGACCATCGCAGCAAAGTCCACGCATT